CCGGGGCGGTGGCGGCAATCACAGAAGACTCTCATCAATAGCTTCCTAAGCAGTAAAATAAAACATTCAGACCTTTTCCAAAGGTGTTTATTGAATATAGCATTTATTTTTTCCCCTAGTTAAAAAGTTTTGCATAAGTGTCAACAGCTAGCACATTCAGAAATGCGTCCATCTCATTACTCCATGACACCTTGGTACGCAACCACAAAACAGCTCATTTAAAAAGAAAGGATTGTAACATTCTTAAGAGGTAGGTGAAGAGTCTTGTACTTACGTAGTTTTATATTAAAAGGACAAAAGAAAATAGTCACATCTGTATAAATCAACTTAAGCCAGTTACAGTATCTGATGATGATTCATCATTCACAAGCTATGTTTCTGCATGACTACTGCAGCTTCATTGTGTTAGACACTAATACGTGTGCAAAGTTTACTGATGGTAATAGGCAATGTCTTAACCCTTTGTCGTGGTTTAGCCCCAGCCGGCAACTAAGCACCACGCAGCCGCTCGCTCACTCCCCCTCCCGCAGTGGGACGGGGAAGAGAATTGGGAACAAAACTCGTGGGTTGAGATAAACACGGTTTAATAGGACAGAAAGAAAGAAGGGAACAACAATGATAATACCAACAAAGGAATGTACAAGAACAAGTGATGCCCAATACAGCAATTGCTCACCACCCCGTGATCCACAGCCCGTCCCCGAGCAGCGATTTCCACCCCCCAGCCAACTCCAGTTTATGTACTGGGCATGACGTCGTATGGTAGGGAATATCTCTGGCCAGTCTGGGTCAGCTGTCCCGGCTGTGTCCCCTCCCAGCTCCCCGTGCACTCCCAGCCTACTCGCTGGCAGGCCAGCACGAGAAGCTGGACTGTCCTTGACTGCTCAGCAACAACCCCAAACATCAGCACGTTATCAACAGTTTCTCATCCCAAATCCAAAACACAGTCTCACACTAGCTTCTGTGAAGAAAACCAGCTCTATCCTGGCTGAAACCAGGACACCCTTCTATCTACCATTCAACTGGCAGAGCACCCTACTACTTGGGCTTTTCTTTTTAATAACAAGGCTTTGTTCAGATGACTGAATAAGAAACTGCACAGCTGCAGAGCTACTGGGAAAGCAATCATCCGTCTTCCATGAATATTTTTTGTAATTATTAACATGGACTTTAATATATAAATATTAACTAGCAGCTTAGTAAGCTAGAGTAAAGAGCATGGTAAGACAAGGACTTGACTTTTTGAAAACATTCTAGTAGCTTCTCCTCAGATAATTTTCAATACTGGGAAAAAAAAAAATCGGTATTTTAAATCAGAGTAATCTGGGCAGTAAACTGCAAAACTGAAAAGAGATCTAGTTGAGCAAAGAATGGCTTTAATTTCATTGATCTCAATCATGCTTGAAGGGAATGATGAAAAACTGTAACACAACTATACTCTCTTCACTTCACAAATGCCCTTTTTTCCTGTTAGCTCAATATAGGGAACACGATGTGGTAAGGGAAACAATGTAGTTCAACTTAAAATTTTGAAGCTAGGAAAGCTGCAAAATCTGCCTTTCAGAATATGAGTATTTAAATATTCCTTATATTTCAGAGCATTACTCTGACTGAAACCAGGTATCCTTTAAATGTATAATTAAAGCACTTATTTCAAGCATCTTCGACAACCAGTTGGAGAAACAAATCCTTTAGAGAATGACCTGCATCCACAAGGATTGAGTAAGAATTTTCACTGAAAGCTTTGTAAGACTTCTGCGGTTACAAAAAGCACACAAGTTATTATCCCTCTCCCCTCTGTTCCTTGTATGAGACTTTTCTGGAGGGAGACTGAAATGACTTGAGAATTGAATTCATCTCCAAAGACAAAAGCTTTTGACAAGAGATGCATTTAAGCCATCTTTCTACATAATAAATACTGTATAAATCTGTAGAATACACAGACAAAAGTTTGATGCTGGAAGAAATACATTTTTCACCAATAAACTTATTTCTTTGTGACAGATTTAGTTTAGAAAGTGCCCATTCACAATGTAGTTCCATTATATTCAGTTAATACAGACATTTCAGTAGATGACATCAGTGAGGCTGACATATGACTAGGCACCAATGCCACCCTCTCCTCCTATGACACACTTCGAGGTCATTTCATAAGAGATTTCCCTTGCCACCAACATGTAATCTCATCTTGAAGTCTGACAATTTAACTGTTGAAAGGTTTTAAGCTGTCATTAGAGCACTGAAGTGTATGATGCAACAAACTTGCCGAAACATGCTAACAAATACAGGCTATATACTGTGAGCAATTCAGAATGTAACTACTGTTCCTCAGTACAACATTCTTTACAGCAAGAATTACTATTAACTTGTTCACTGAAAATAAACAGAAAAAATATGGTAAACTGCATCATTATGAATGTTACATATTATTCTAACTAGTTTAAGCTTTTTGGAAGCAAAAATTCTCCATTTTAACATCCCAGAACCTCAAAGACTTCAGTCTGCTTCAGCACTAAATCCTTATACATCCCTCTCCATTACTTTCCAACAGAACATGGCTTTGCCACACTACGCAATATAGTCAAGAACACTCGAGCACTCTGGAGAAAGTGTCATTAAAAACTTATGTGAGTAGACTCTAAAGTATCTTTGCCACTTCTGAACATTTAGCCTGTTGTAGAAACCAATTTACAAAATGTCACATCCACACACAGAGAGGCCACTGGCCCAAACATCTCTATTTCACTTGCACACAGTAGTAACAAAAGGTAACTAAGAACTTACTACCACACATATATATATTAAAAAAATGAACTGATGAGACCTCAAAATCAAAGGTAAACTAATGACTCATAAAATTATCTTTTGACAGGGCTTGACCTGTATTCTAGCAACTTGAGTTTTACTTTTAGAAGGAATTGCCATTGAAAAGTGAATTCCCTACAATACTGTATCTTACCACAAAGTGATTCAGGTTTTGAAATAACTTTTATTAAAGTATGACATTCAATCTTTTCATGCTTTTAAATATTAAAATATATTAAATTACTTCATAGATTTAAAACAAGATAAGTTTGACAAAAAGTTACCCATTTGTGTTCATGATAACTTTGGGACCACTTCACTTTTCAGAAACATCCACCTCACCATCAAATGATGAGCTGAAAAAGGTCAGAGGAGAATAATTCTTTAGCACACCTGCTTCTCAAGCTGCGTATCTCTAAGGACAGAAGAACTGTTGTGCTGTATATTCAGTCACAAAAACTTGTACTAGAGAAGTAAACTGTTGGGTAAGGACATACACATTTCCAAAAGAAATAGTACTACTGCAGCATGAAACTGTAGAATCACTCAGCCACAGGAAAGACAATAAAAACAATCCCATTGTTTGATACTATGACCTGTACAGAGGACTGGCTACTCTATACTGCACTACACACATAGGAAGCAACAGGACACATAGAACTACAATCCTTTCACTAAGTATATGATTTTACTGAGAAAAATGCTTTTTTTTCTTTAGGAAAAAGTTGAAACGAGATGATCAGAATGCTCAGTATCTAGCTTAGGACCCACACAAGGCTTACAGGTTTGCACGTTCATACACATTGCACTGTGAAAGTATCAGAAGTAAACAGGCTGTAAGCATCCAATTTACTGACTGAAACTTTACATCAATCTGGGTCAATACTGAAATTGAAGCAGGAGTAAGACAGCTGCAAAGAAACTGTTCACATTCATGTTCTGCTTTCAGAGCAAGATCCAAACCTCATGAAACAGATGAAAGGCAACTTGAAATTAGCATTGCCTGTTGAAAGAGAACATCCTGCATATTAATCTCTTTGAAACTGTGATTCAGAAGCTACTATGACAAAAGTACCTAACTCTTGAGATGAAAGTCTCTCGAGTTGCAAACAAACTCCCAGAGACATGGGCAATTTGCCCTTATTTGACATGAATATGCTCTCAGTCTATACATGTATCATTAGAGACAGTAGATTAATTGGCGGCAAGTGTCTACCATGGAACTGTCTCTTGACTGCTATTTATCAGTGTTGTGTAATAATCTGGTTGAATGCAATCTTTTTTTTTTAAACAACTGTATAACACTAACCTTTAATATAATCAAGAACTGATATTTTTGGCATTAAGACAAAATTGTGAGCACAACAACAACCACAAGTGAAGATTTAATGTATTTGCTGCAATATTATATTGCTCAACTCTTGAATGGATTTATTTGCATGCACCTGTCCTTACAGGGAAATAGCAATAATTATCAAAAGATGTTACAATCTTTTACAACGTATCAACCAGTGCATTATTGTTGCCCTGATAAACCCATAAACAGTATTTATGCATCCAAGAACACCTCTTACAGACACAAGTTCACTACCATTGCGGGGAGAAAAAAAACCCCAACCTTTAAATCCCTTTTTTTTTTTTGTTAAGCAAAATTAGTGCTGGTATCAAATATAGCTTTAGAAATGGATGTTTCATCTACAAGGATGACACAGGTGGCATTAAGACTCCCCATACCTCTGCAAACAATTGATATTATGGCTAGAATATCAATATGTAAGTCCCAAGCTCTACTGAGTATGGCCAGACACCCTAGTGATAGCTTCAGTAAATCAAGGCTAAATTTGTAACTTAAATTGAGAAAGGTCTCATTTTACTAATCATTCAAACAGTTCAGTGTCTGTTGTGGCTTGGGCTTAAACCCTTTGTCCAACAGACTGAAGTTCACAGAACTGCAGTTCTGCATTCTGGAAAATGGACTAAAAGACACCAAAGCTCAAGCTCACTCTAGTGAGGTAAATGAGTACTGCTTGTATTACGTATGTGAAATAAAATAAGGATCTTCACTATTGTGAAAGACTACATTATGTGATTGTTAATATCCAAACAAATTAAGCTTTCTGTGACAATGAAGAAATGCACTTGACCATTTACAGCAAAACAGATTTATACAATAACAACAAGTAACTTATGGCCTTGTCTACCTGTAAATGAATTCCTTCAGCAGGTACACACAATATATTGCTCAGTCATAAAAATATATATTATCTCTTTCCTTTAACATTTAGGTATATAAATATTTTACTGAAGAACATGCATCATTTAGATAAACAATTGCAAGAACATCCTCTGAAAACATAGGGTTCTTTGACATTTAGCAGTATAAAATGATTACATAAACATAGCTATTAAAGTCAAGACAAACCAATAGAGCAGAAAGCAGTCCATTGTGTGCTAGTCCAAAGAAATTAAGCACCTTTTGCAACAGGTTATATAATATATACACACACAGAGAATGCATTGTAAATGGAGCAAAAATAGCATAATCCCATCTGCATATTCTTCAGTCTTGCTTGGACTCCAAACTTACTGTTCACTTTTCTGCTCTTGTTTTCCATTCAGCTCTTGGTCAACTCTGCTTAGCAAAGAAAGCAGTAAAATTAAAACTAGGTTAAAAAGTAGTTTAGTCTGATAGCTCATACATTAAGCAAAAACTATTAAGAGGAAAACACAAAGCTTTTACTTGGAAAAAAGTTTTAGTAAATAAATACTAAATTAAGATTTTTATTGAATGCAATCACAACGTTTTTTTAAAAATCTATTTTCCTACCTCCCCCTAAAAATTGTTAAGAAACCATTTAAATAACTACAGCGTTTGAAAGGAAGCATTATGAAAAGTGCAAGTGAAGTTTGACTACAGAAAAAAAAGCAGGTTCTGTGCTTTTCTTAATGAATGCAAGCAGGAATACAAGTTTACAGGTGACATGACAATACCATCAAGCACTACTACTTTGATGAATTCATATACTGCAGAATGAGCACAGAATTACCTTTAATGTTATAGTAATTAAGCCAAGAAGTTAACAGCAGTAGTTGAATCAAAAAGAGTTAAGTGGCTCCTTAACTGCAATACTTTTTCTATTAAGTTTTAAGATTCTTGTAATTACCCAGGAAGAATTCACCATCAGGCTGCTAAAACTGTTTCTTGGTTTGTGCTATTTTTTTTTTTCCTCTGGTATCTACCTTGGAACTAGCAAACAATGTTGCTTTGCAGAAGCCAGTGTGCAGGACAGTCCTGCACAAGATGTACTTTCCCTCTTTACAGAAAGAACAAGCTACAGTCTTAACTGTATCTTCTGGAAAATAAGTCGTGAGTGGAGTTAAATTAATTTCAAAACCAACAGCAGTTTCAAGTGAGAGAGGCTAAGGCCAACTTTGTCATCTAACCACCTAATTGTCTAAACTACCTGTCCAGTCTCTCAAACTATAACCAGCCAGTTTTTCAAAGTGATAAAAACAATGATGGCTTTTCCAGGCCATGAACTCATAAAAAGGGAAGGCAAGTTTTGTTTGGGTTTTTTTTCCAGCCATAAGAACTGAACATAGTACGTAAGGATCCAATAGGCCTGGAGCAGTGTTGGCTAGAAGCAACAGTCCTAGTCAAATACCGTTCACCTGCACACTAAGCAGCTACATTCATCCCTGTCCTCACTGCAGCATCTTAGAAAAGCATGTTTTTACATGACTTACAGGACTAATCACAGAAAGTGTAAGAACATAATGGTAAGCTAATGCAAACAAGCTATGCATAAACGTACAGCTAACAATAAAAATCCATGTAGGTATACCATATTCTAGCTTCCAAAGTGACTCATATACATAGCTAAGTAATTCCTACAGCCATCCTCAACAAATTTCGTAACTAAACTTCAATACATTGCCTTTCCCCCATTATAATAATGCCTACAGCTGCTTTCAACCTGATTAAAGTCTCACTATTAAATAATGTCTGTGATCATTCCTCTATACATTAAGTTTCACTTACAAACATACTACTTTTTACAAAAATGATGGTAGTGTAAGTGATGATATCAACATGGGCACTAAAAAGTGCTTGTTGTACTGGAGATTTTTAGAAGTTTTTACATTACTGCTTGAATGTCTCAGGTTTGCAACCTGAATACAACGGGCCTTGCAGTAGAACTGGGCCAAATTACACATGCTGAGGAAACAAAAAACCCCTCAAGCAGAGCTGTTATTCAGTATGTACTGAAACGGTTTCTTAACTTTGACAGGCTTAGTACTTCAGGTTACACACTGCAAGATTAACACTTAATTGGAATAATTCCTAAAGAATGTTCAACACTTGTCACTAGCTTTACCTGCTAGCTTTCAGAAAGAATTTCAATTCCTTTTATTTTAATCTCTCTGTGTTCCTCTCTATGTCCATTATCCAATTTAGACAATAAGCGTCCCTCAATAGTTATGCACACACAGGAAGAGTAATTAAAAAAAAAGCAAAGTTAGTAGCAAAACCTTTCAGTACATTTGTTAGAGTGAATAAACATATCCATTCAAAAAATGTCATCAGCTGCTGGAATAGCTTGAATAGTTAGCAGGAGACTGAAGATGAACAAAATGAAAATTCACTGTTTATTAGCAAGGAACATAGGCACTGCAAATACAAACAGCACTAAAATACTAATTTAGATTGCATTTGTGCAAGTTACTAACTAAAAATAAGTAGCGAATACCAGAAATACAGAATATAAGATTCAATATTAGAACTTCTTCCAGAGTTGCACCTCTGCTGATGCATAACTACAGCTTAGCACCTAAAACCAGCTCTTCCTTCAGACATCATTTCTTGTTAAGAACAGTGAAACTTCATTTAATCGATTCATACAGAAGCACTACAGAAGATTCAGTTGAGAATCCACATATCCCCTTAAAAGTGAGCATCTCACGTAATAGAGTGATAAAGACTATTCACAAATATCTGTTTGCACATCCAGGGTGATTTCTTTTACATAATATACTGTACTTGCAGGCAGTATAGTTACCTTCATGCATAAAAACTTAGTCACTAGTGCATGTTTATATTTACAAATGCTTATTCCTTTATGCAAGCCAATCAACTGGGAGTTAGTTGCAGTGCAATAGTCTTATCTAGATGCAACCCTAATCAAAATATGAATATACCTTTTCTGTTTCTTTCTAAACTTTTCTTCTTCATACCTTGGTGAGGAAAAGTTTGATTTCAGTAAATACAACACATGAAGGCCAAATTCAACAGAAGCTGCAAACTGGTATTAGTGTCAATACAGTTTGTAGAAACATACCAAGTTTTGAAACTGATATAATTAAGAAAAAAATACCATGTACCTCCAATGTTTTTAAGCATTAAACAAGAAGCATTAAGACTTAGTTACTATGACATAACATACGAATTCAATACAACTTCTTGTACAGTATTAACATCCATCACTAAAATTTAAAGTCTGTATTCGTAACAGTTTGAAGTCAGATATAATCTTCCACAGAAGTCCGAGAATGAACTCCGTAAGTCAACAAAGTTCAGCCTTTGCAGAACAGTTAAAGGTTCATCCATAGAGAAAGGAGTCTGAAAGACTTGGAATGAGTCTGAATATTCGTAACACATCTTTCAAAAGCCCCAGAAAAAAACCAAAAACATCTAAGGATAGCACAAGGCTGCTTCAGCATTGTCATGTCTTTCCTCCCCGCTCCAAGAAAACTGCGTTTTCTCTATTTTTAGAAAAAGTTAAATTGTGCAGGTGATACCAGCTGCATGCTTACTGCAATAACCAGCCATTTGCAGGGGTTGGAGTGGGATTTGTGGATCTGTCCAACATGGATGTGGCCTTCTGTCCACACAGTGAGACTATACCATCTTTCCTCATGGAGTTCCCAGTTTACAATGCATACTCTAAAGATTTTGTATGTTATACCCTCTAATAGGCTGATCAATTTATCATCAGAATTATTCGTATTTTCATCTGGCTTTTTAAAGATCCAAGTTTAATGGTTTCTACTCTATTATTGCACCCACAAATGCTACTGGCAAAAGTATCATCATCATATTTGAGAGCAAAATTGCGTTGCTATTAGACTGGATATTTGTATCTAGAGGGAAGAGGAGAAAATCAAGGACACTGGTGCTGCCTTCACCTCTTCAAAGTAGTTTTAGAACTATTATGGGTAGGGATTCAGCATTTTTCCACCACAGCTCTTCTTTTAAATGAAATCCCAACCCAAGTGATATTTCATCACTTAACTTGTTCCACATTTTAGCATGAACACTGAAGATACTATAAATAATTTCAGTATCAACATGCCCAGAATTTCTCACTCACAAGCCAATTTAGCATACTAAAGGCTTGTCTCTAGAAGACACACCACAACTTAGTAATTACATAAGGCACTATCTGTGAAAATCCCTATACATTAACATTTTGGCTATCCATGCTACTGCATACCAGGCTGTAGTTAGCAATGTGGTCAAACATGGATACTCGTCCTAGAGATAGCAATGATGTGTTAAATTAAATTTATTGAAGGCAAAGTATTACATTCAAACGAATCATCAAATACAATATATACCGGTTCTAAAACATGATCAGTATAGAACATGTTTGAATAATAAAACGTACTGTTTTATGCATTCTGGGATGCCAACGTATTCCATGGGGATGAGTTCAGCTAGTTCTGCCAGGGTAAAGACATACCTAATTTTTTGGCTGAATTTTGAGCTGTGGAAGAACAAATGCAGGGTACAGTTACAACTTAAAAATTTTTCAGTAAGTCAAGATTAAAACAGCTTTTGAAGTTTAAAGTAAACAGTTGTTAGGACTTTTTTTTTTTTTTAATTTTAAAAAGAAATAGCTTCCAGAGTATTACCTAATAAAAGGTTTTGTAATGGCCAGAAGTGTTCTGATGAACCAAGACGGATGAACTATGATTAGTGATTTCAGATTTTTCCTTAACCTGAAGAATTCAAACAGCAGACATAATTACTAGAACAAAAAGGCAGCATGACAACAACTTTTTTTAATGTACACAAAGTATGTTTTTGCAAGCACAACTGTTACATAAATCCAGTCTTCTGACATTTCATTACTAGAATTACCATCTGCCAGAAAAAAAAAAACCCCACACAACTGTACAGTCAAAATTCAAGGTATAGTATCAGTTTGATAACAATGACAAGGAAATAACATCCCAAAGTTTTTTTCAGTCTTTTTACACAACTAATGTAGTGGTTCATGAAGGGCCCCCCTTATTACCTCACCATGTTAATACATGAAGTTTTAGGGATATTCTACATGGTAACAGTATTCAGTATTCTAACACCACTATCTTCACTTAAAAAACAAACAAACAAACAAACAACCACAAACAACACCAGGCATGCCAGTAGCATTATTCCACACTGTCAGGCTTAGGAAGAGGGTTTCAATACACCAAACAACTTGCTTAATTAAATCTTAATCAGTAGGTACCAGACACCACATTAAACAGCAGTTTTTCCTAAGTACGTAGATCACTAAGCATGTGAACTTTGTAGGAAAACACTGCAGAGCTTCTTACCTTCTATCAATTTGCTGGTAACATTTCCTAAGCCAGCCTAAACTTGGCATTTTTCTCCGTGTTGTTGCACCATTCAGGTAAACTATCATATAGTTCTCTGCTACTAACAGTTCTAAAGTGCCAATGACATACCTGCGGAGACAAGCAAAGAAAACTTTCAAGTGAAGATCTGTGGATATTACAGTAATTTCTATCAGTGCTCAAATATATTTAAGAAACATAAAGTTGGTAACAGTGTCAGGCAAAATCTAATAATTTTTTTTTTTCCTTCCCCTGGAAGCAGATGTAGTTGCTTTTTTATTTGTTACCTTTCCCTTACCTGAAATACAAAAAGCTTCATTAAAAAAAAGAGAAGTAATTGCCCTTACATTAAAATGCTAAGTTTCACAATGTGAAATTAAGACAGTATTCAGAGGCAGACGACGACTTACTTAAATAGATTGTCCATTAGGTATCTGTAGTTAGGCTGGCTGCTTTCAGGCATAAAGCAAACAGCAAATACAACAATGGCATTTAACCCATCACCATAATAACCTAAAAATAAATTAAAAAGCAGCAGTAACGACAAAGGTGAGTAGATGTTGCTACATTTACACACAGTCAAGCACATTCAGTAAGCTTTTTTTATCATTTACCTTAAAAAGATTTATAAGCATCTATTCTATAGAGACAGATTTATACAATTACAGAAAACTTCAAAATTTTTTTAAGTTTGTCTACTTCTAAAGAAATAGCTGAAGCTGATGTAAATCAAATGATGTACCTACAATCAACATCTCCCTATAGATTCTCAGTATATTTAATAACAGTTCATATAGTCAACTTTTCTTCCAACCTGAACTCCACAGACTGTTGAGAAGAGTCATTAAATTGATTTATGCCTTAGTAGATCTACAGTTAATGCTTTCAACACTCTTAAAACCAAAGAATTATATTAGTGGCACTGACATTGTAGAACAGATAAGTACATCTTATTACATATGTGCATGTTAGTAGCTTCATCTGAACATGTGTAAATTTTGGAGCTTTAGTTTAATAGTGAAAAAAATAATAAATCAACCATATGCCTTAATACTGTAACAAATGAATCATCACATGAGTCTTAAATGCCCAAAGCTCTTCCTGTACCACCCCAACTCAGCTTAAAGAAGTAGTTTCTCAACAGTTCCCCTCAGCACATCACTAATTCTTACCACCATGACTGATAACTTTTTTATATGGTTCAATTGCCTTCATGTCCACCCTATGGTCCTGTTCTCCAATCCTAAACATTCGCCAGCGTCGACCATCATCTTTCTCCTCTGCCACAGTGTATTCAGTAAGTGATCCTTTCCTAATTACATCAGTAGTTTTTGGTTTTGGAAGATCATCTGTCAAAGTTAAAACATGTTCAAGACCCATTATGAATACTATGTGTAGTAGCAATCAGTTACAACATAGGTTAACCACTTTGCTATCTAATCTATTTTAATATTCTTTAGCCAGACATATCAGATGACTTAGTTCCTTCAGTCATTACAACATAGGGTCTCATGGGTGTCATGCATATTTTATCAAAATATTCTTAAGTTGGCAGTTATCCATTGACTGTAATTTTCTATGTTAACGTATGCAACAAATTTCCATTCACGTCGGAAGCCCATTTAATTTTAGGCTTTCAGAACACAGACCTTGATGAATCTCACCAAAACAGACAAAGTGGTTAACTCCAATGATAATTACACAGGTTGCTTGATCACAGATTTACATAAAAGCATGATTTAAAACATTGACAGTACCTTGCAAGCAGACATGCAGGCAAATCTATTAGAAATTAAATCTAATTCACAAGTGTGCAATCAATATATGTGAAATCTATGCTGACAGCAATCTGCAAAACAATTTGCTCCAATTAAATTATGATTCTTGACTTTGTTGCATAGACCTTACCCAAAGCAAGAAAAACCTACTGCAAGTTAGTTGTCTGTTCCCAAGACAAAGCTGTTAATTGAAACTATCCTTCCAGGAAAATGAAGGCAGCAGCATTAAAAGGAAGAAAAGACAGAAACCCTTTTCAGCCACTTTTAAAAACAAGGCACAAAACATCCGGAACATTTCCTTCGCATTATTGCAAAACTAACCCTAAATACCAATTCTTCTTCACTAAAATGATGAAAATCCTTTTACACAGGTAAACCCACAGTCTCTGTTATGAAAGTTTCACCTGCAATATGTCTTCAGCTATTTTAAAAAAACGCAACTTATTCTAAAGAGTGTTTCTTTCTCCTTTTACAAGCTACCTTGGAATGAAGATCAGGTAGTGTTTCACATGTAACAGTGAAAGAGAGCTTCCTGTTTACTCAGGAATTAAAATTGTTTAGAGAATAAATAATAGTAAACAATAATTGAGTTTACATGTTTACTTATTAGAGACACTGTTAAGTCACAAAGTTAACAAAAGTTAAAGACTCCAAACTTTTTGTCCAACACAACTGTTCTTGGCTTACATAAGAGGGCCTTAAAACATAACTAAACTGCAAGTTTAAAATTTGTGCTTTAGCTCGTACACAGAACATTTTTACCTCAAATAAAATTTGTTAGAATCTCCAGGTTTTGCCTGTAAGAATAAAAAGCTATAGCTAAGTTAACTTCCTATCAAGTAAGTTCAGAATTCCTTGACACAAAATAGAAGCTCTTCTACCACTTCCAGTCAATCTGGAAAGCATGCAAACTCTGAGGCTACTGAACTTTTGCCATTCTCACCACAGTAAGATATGACATCAGGTGTTACTCAATATTTAAAAAAAATACCATTCAGTCCTCCTTAAATACAAAGGCTTGCAATTCATCGATTTCTGACTAGCTCATCTATAATCTATATCCCTTTATACAGTTCACCTCCATTTAAAACTGATTTATAACACATGTAAAACCCTTTGATCCGCCCCGCCCCCAGGTTGGTTCTTAAAAACAGGGAGGATTCCCCATAACTTCAAGTCTTACAGGTGTTTAACGACATTCACTTAAGTTTATTTGGAGTTAGAGCTATTATGTTGCCTGTTTACTAATCAGTTAAGGTCTGATTTGCTCTTTAAAAATTCAGTGCACTTACTTCCAATTTCTAATTTAATCATTCCCTTTATATTTTTCCTCTTGTAATATTAAGTCATAGTTATTTCCCACCTGAAAAACTGTTGACCTGCCCATAAGAAAATAGAAATATTTTACAGCATCAGACAAAAGTAACAAAATACTTACCTTCCCATTCAAACTCATTGCTATTTTCTGAAGGAGTATCTATATCATCCAAATCAATCTCTCCACTCTCATCCAAGTCATCAGACAGAACAGATTCCTCGCTGTGATCCAAAGTTAAGCTAATATCTGGAGCCATTAGTTTCTTCTTCACTTTGGTTCCATTAACCTCTGAATTTAAAAAAGCAGATCATTTCTTTTCAAAGCTAAAGCAAGTTTAGGTAAGCATATTAACAAGACAGAAGAGCACAGTGCTTTCTCAGAACGCATTATAAATTAATGCCCAAAATACAATGACGTATCTTTGGAATAAGAATTAAAATACAGGGTGAAAACAACAGCACTTGGAGGTCAAAGTTCTCAAGGCCTCAAGACCGTAAGTTTACCCAATTCCATACACACTATGATCACAGTGGTAGACCACCATACTCCCTAGAGAAGAAAAACCTGAAGTGCTGCCACCATCTAAGCAACTATTACCCGTGCTAGCTGTATCAAAGTGTACCATGAATTGTTCTAGATATTATACTAAACAAGTCTTGTAAATAATGCAATAGATTGATGTCCCTAGCCCTTGCTTTTGTTAGGTATTGGTTGCAGCATAACCATCTTTGGTGAAGTAAAAAATAATATACAAGCTGCAAAAAAAAGAAGGCTGACAGACAACAGTGAGGACAGAAAATTAAAGAAACTACTAGATGAATACACAGCGTGCTTTGAGATACAAGGCAAAGACTTGTGTGATTTAGACAGCAGTTGAAACCAGGGAATAAAATGATTGATCCAGCACTGGAAGTGTCGCAACTAAAGCAGACAGACAAGATCCAAAAAAAATTAAAAACTTAAAAAAAAAGCCATCTGTATTATTTCCCCTCCGACCATTCTGACAGACACCACACTTAAAAGGCCACAAAGGTCTGAAATTTGGAGTAAAACTAAAGTATACCCTAAGTGATGCATAGAAGCCAAGTAATGAACCAAGACTTTAAGACGGGTCAGGAAGCAGGTGGAGTAATTCCAGTATTACCTGGATAGCTCTGTTCACAGGGAGGATGAAGAGTCGTGTATCTTATTCCAAAACCTTTTTCTTTCCAGACAAAATGTTTATAATACCCCTCACATACAAAAATGTCATTCAGAATGCTGTTTGCTCAAGCCTGACTTAAAAAAAAAAAACCACAACCACACACCCACAGAAAACCACCCTAAACAAAATGGAGCTTTAAAACAGCCATCTAATTAGGAAGCAGTCAGCTTGACTAGAGTGGAATGTTCTTACCAGCTTCACTTTCTGTTCCAGCTGCAGCCAATATATCTGACTCAACAGGATCATCCTCTGGCAGCGGCCTGGAGCACAAAGTAAAAGCTATTGTTACACCACTTTGTTTTCTTTTTTTTTAAATAGCCAGCCAGCTGCCAAGTATTTAGACTTACTACTGAAAAAACCCACTGTGGGAGAGTACTGAACTAAACTTACTTATCGTTTAAGTTCAAGCTTTCAGTAAACAAAGCACCAAAGTAGCAGAAAATTCCTTTACAGCATTCAAGCAACCATCTGTTCATGTGACAAATACCAAAATACTGGTTGCTACTAATACGTGTCATCCTTAAGAAAACTTGTCATATTCTTGCCTGAGAAGATTTGACATGAAATACATTACAGAAGTAGTTTAGTCATGTTATTACAGAACACCTCTGAAGTCAGCCGTTTTAGTCTCTTTTAAGCCCAAGCATCACTAGCAGTCTTAACTGCTAAAAAGTTTGCTCAGAAATGTTGCTTAATGAAATATTTGGGCCTTCAGACACTGGTAATAATATATAAACAATGTAGCTGCAAGAGTACCACAGAAAACAAAGCCAAACTTACAAATTTTGACTTTAGTAACACTGGAAACTTCAACAGTGGCATCGCTGTATTACTTAACTTACATATGAACATGATGCAATCCCTTTCCAGACCATAAAGAAACAGACCACAAAACCTTTTCAAGACTACTATATTAGTGGAAATCACTTCGAGATTATTATTGAGAGTTAGCTAAGCAGGAAGATAAGGAGGTAGCTTACTCTGGATGCTAGGCATTTGATTTTAATTACTTAAAAAAAAGAAAATTAAAAACCTTGGAAAATCTTCATCTTGCCATTCTTCCTTAAACTCAACACCTTCCATTCTCCAGCCAACTTGAATTGCTAATGCAGACTCCTGATCAGGCAGAACCTCTTGTCTTCAAGACAGTGGGCTAAAGAGGAGCTGCAGGAACATGATAGAAGATGCTAGTTCAATACTATTGTAATTCCCACGTCTGAAACACCACCTTTCACCTATCAGCAAGTTAAGGTATTATGCAGAAGAGGAAAAAAAGCCAGGGAAGAGTTCATGGTTTGCTGCCTTCCCCGCCACCCCCGTCCCCCCAAACTGCTTATGGAATGGTTTATCATACAGTAATTTAGGTTGGAAGGGATCTCATGTAGTCCAATGCCCTGCTCAAACAGGATCAATCTCTCAGTTAAAATCAAGGCCCTGAGCAACCTGATCTATCATTTAGGATTACACCAGTTCATGCCAAACTGTAAGAAATGTGACAGCTCTCTAGATTCTACAGCAGATATTGAAAAGGGTATATTTTGAGGAAAAAACCCTCAGGCAGTCAGATCTAAAATATAAGCGAGTTCTTAAAAACCCAAAACACTTTAAAGATAACTATTTCAGGAAGTGTTTTCAGAGAACTCACCCTGTGATGTGCAAGTCAAGCTGCGTTTTTTCAGGTTCACCCATCACCAGCAACAAGGAATCCCCAATAATGGAACATAATAAACCATTCTGCTGACATACAAGTCCAAGCCAGTTGAAGCTCTCGGCTGTGTTGGCTCTAAAGATTGGCAGGAACAGGTAAACGTCAATGAAGATGTTAAGAAAATCAACACTAATCAAAACAGGAAGTAATGATATTTTTAAATGCAAAAATGCAATCAACACAGAACACCAGTAAGTAAAAAATTTGAATGCAGTCATACTGCTAATTAAGCCAGAGAGACAATTTACACTTCCTGTGCTGTAGTATCATCTTTCTCGACAAATCTCAATTTCTCCTTCTCCTGACTCGATTACAACCACAAACTGATTTTAAAACATCCTGCAATGCTTAAAGCTACACTACACAAGCTGATTAATAACTCCCACACACATTTAAAAGACTAATTTTTCATAAAACTACAGTACCAGAGACAAATTAAACGCTAATGACCAAAATTTAAGTTTATTTTACTGACATTTCCCTACTTCCCTCACACAGAAAACGGAAATAAAATTTCTAGAAGGTAGCAACCTAGTTCCTCTTAAGGGTCAGACTCTCCTTGTTTGAATCATTCAGCCCCTGCACCACTCAATTGCTGGCAGCATGTGCCTATGTACCCAATCTCCAAGAAGTTGCCACCAGTAATTGTCCTCCCAACTCTCCCTCTTTCTATTTGTCCTTTTTGACCAATATGCTGTTTGGAGTAGTTTCTTGCTGCTTGAATCATGACTTTCCTCATGAAACATATTCTCAGCATACAGTTTCTCCTGGGTACTAACCTGCTCAGTGTTTGCAACAATGAATTTTAAATATTTGCTTGGAGATAAGATTATATTTTGATCAGTAGTAACACTGAATATGTGCATAGTTCTACATGCATTTGTTTCAGGACACTGAGGTGAAGCACAAGAAGTTTCAAAAGGTACCCTACGCAGCCAAGAGCATACCGTGGTTACAGTCAGTACTGAATGGATCATCTGATGCAGATACATAGTTCCCTGTAAACAGACACTAAATCTAGAAGAAAATCTAAATTGATGACTTTATTCTTAAGGGACAGGTGAAGAAATAAAGAAAACCAACAGTAAAAAAAAACATGCCACCACAAACCAACCCTATCACTCTGCTTGTGGCTATAAGATGCTACTCTTGAGCTCTCCTGCATGGCATTCACAATACAGTTCCCACAAGACAATTTAAAGTAGGGTTTTGCTCCAAGTTTTGAAGTTTTCTCACCACACTTTTGAAGGATACACCGAGTAACATCTATTAATTTCAGATGTACAGCATTTCAGTGCAGAAGCAATTCCTACCTACATGTATTTCATTACGTTGAGATAAACTTGATACAGTAAGACAGGCACAGATTTTAAAAGTTAGTCATGCTGTAATCAAAGTTTAAGACACTTCTGCAAAACACTTTTCACATTACTGAAAGAATTCTCATCAGCAACTTCTCATTAAGGTAGATTTGAAAGCAGTTAGTCGCTAAATACCACATAGTACAATTGCAAACAACTTACAAAGCAAGTTCCAAGTTCAACATCAGATAAGCTTGAATTTAGGTTTTTAGCACCCTACTTAACATGTAGACTAAATAGTTGTTTTGGATGTTTTGACTTAAAGTTTCATGTACAAACGAACTATCATTTGCCAGCTAGAAGAATGAGAAGTTAAGGAGGAAGGGTAATCTCAGGAAAGTTAGAAAACTGCTGACTTTAAAGTTAACTACCGAATAATTTACATCATTAATATTAATGCTTACAAAGCGTGAGAGGGAGTCTACTATTTCTGCTTGTACAAACTAAAGAAGAGTTTAGAACAGTCTTCCCACAGCTGCTGTGGTAGTGCTGACATCTTCTGTTTTTACTATGCCAAAGTCTCTTTTTAATTCAGCCGTAAATCAAAGATCTAAAAGCTTAACTTGAAAAATGTAATATATTGTAATGATGCAATTATTTATTAGCCATGTAGAAGAACAGCAATTAATTTCTACCTGATCCTACCGCTATTCAAGGCCAACTCAAAGTCGCTTCTGAGAAGAGCAAGCCTGATCATTTTTATTCTTCATTGCTCATTACTTTCCATTTTACTTAAAGAAATGGAATTGGAATACTGGGAGCTATCTAAAGGTCAGAAACTTCAACACATCAAAGAACATCTGGATGCAGGACTGCCATGTGGATCTGCTCTCTTACTGGAACCACGGGACTTTGGAGCTCAACAATGCTTTTTATGGTTTTAAATATCTCATTACACAAGTTACAATATTACAAAAAGAAAAAAGCATCACAAGGGAATACATCACTACACCCCACTACTCTTCTACTACAGCTAATGAATGGATTTCCATTTCTAGAACACCAGGTTAAACCAACTTAAGTTTGCATGTGAAGAGTATTACTGCTTGCACCAGAAGTCAAACATCAGTGTTCTCATCCTTTTGCCTGGAAGAGGAGATAATTTTCAGAGTTCTCTCACTAATACTGTGCTGGCTTAGTTGGTAAGTGCTGGAAAAATATAAGAGTGTTAAGAAGCCTACCATAAATTGCTATTTTTTAAAATTTAGTTTACAGCTAAACAGACATTCTAATCTGTCCCAGATACTTAGGAAAAAAACACAACAGAATGCATGAGATCATTTTATTCACAAAGCTAAAGACGCCTTGCAAAAATTGTTTTTTAGGTTTTCACCCTTGAGGTCTCAGAAGCATACACAAATAAATAACAGTTATGCATTTATATTGCCATATGTGCTTATCCAATGCAAAGACCTATATTCAGTCCTTGATCAGCATCTGAGCATTTTAAGTAGAATAAACATAAAGTTTATTTTGCAGGACAACTGCAACGATGAGCACACTATTGAACCTATGTGCCTGATCGGCAAAGAATAGCATGCTGTTTCATTCTCAGAAAGTTGAAGTCAACTTCAAAAAAAGGTTAGCCTACTTCCTTCTACATTTCACCCTCACCATTTCAACAGAAACACTAACAGAGTGTTAAGTGAATTTCAGGTTCCAGGCATTAAAAGGATGCCTCGTAGAGTATTTTTCACATTTCATTTTACAGCAAGCCAAAAGTAAGGTACAGATACATTTTCTGGTACACACATCCACACGGTGCAGCTCACTATAATTTCTAAACGTTTTTATAACCCCATTGGCTTTTAGAATGTGGCCACACTAGCCATGACCCAAGGAAACATATCCCAGATCTGAAGACGGACATCTAAACTTTATCATTTGCACGTCTGCATAATGAGGTGATGCAAGGACTGTCATTAATAACAAGTCGATTCTTTGCCTCTTTTTTACTCCCTTCTCCCAGCATCAAAGCACAGAGAAATCAGTCAGCTAAAAGAGAACACTTTTGAAAACGCTCCTGCTTTCATCTCCAAGGATACTACTTTAAACGCCACATTCAAAGCAACTGAAGAATCGGTATTTCTGAGTCAATGAGATCATTTAAAATGGATTTGACATCTACGTGCTCACTCCTCCCTCCGCCGCTCCCAGCCC